TTGTTTGCCCAAATTCTTATATTTTTTTTATCTTTTAAAAAAATAATTGTTTTTCTTCAATAGTAATAATAATATTTTTTAAATTTATTAATGATGATGATGATGATGATAATTTTTTTTTAATTTTTTAATTATTTTATTAATAATATTAATTATAATACAAATAATAATATTTTTAACATTAATACTATTAATAATAATAAACATAATAATATTTATAATACAAATAATACTATTTTTTCTATTGATACTTTTAATTATAATAGAAATAATAATTTTTATAATACGAATAATAATATTTTTGATATTAATACTTTTAATTATATTAAAAATAACAATATTTATAATACAAATAATAATATTTAGAAATCTATAAGCTATTAGTTTTGGATCCAGATGCATGATTTATTATCTTTGAATTTTAATACTAAATTTAAGAGAATTGGGTTATGATGCTAAACTTTAAAGAATTGGGTTTAGATGATGAATCCAAGACAATTAAATTCAGATAAAAAAATCCAAGTAAATTGGATTCAGATATAAGATATATTAGTGTTATATACTGACACCAAATATAAGAAAATAAGACCTTTACATTGCATCCAAAAGAATTAAATAAAGAAATGCTTGACACTAATCCTAAAGCTACGTACCTTGTAAAATTAAATAATTGGTTAAAAGTGAAAAAAATAATTTCCGCATCATATTTACAACTGGTCAACTTCAAATTAAATGCTTAATTATATAATTAAGATTTCATTACTAAATTGAAAGTGATTAATAAAGAGAGATGTCCACTCTATTGAAACCACTTTTTTTTTTTAGTTTTTTTCAATGGTTAAGGGTTTCAACCTAAACTAGATTTCCGTATTAGAGATAAAGCCTCAGTCTTTATGTCTTCGTGTCACTCCTCATTGGGTTTTTGCTATTTACAAAATTCTAGCAAATTCAAAGAGAGAGAAAATCTCTTCAATAACTCGAATTATATAAATATATTATATGCAAGGCTTCCTTTTTTTTTAAAAAAAAAAAAGATAATTGCAGTCTCATAATCGGGTGTTTTTAATTATTAGCACAATTTTTTTTTTATAAAATAAAACAAGAAAAAAATATATAGTTGATATCATATTTGAAAACCATGACATTTACCAAACCACAAATTAATTTTAAATTGAAAACCTAAACTATACCTAAATTATTTATCAAACTTTATCTAACCCACTACTCTAACTAAGGCCTAAACCTAAACTATACCTAAATTATTTAAAATATCTAAATTTGCAGAGTCAATTTTAATCAAGGATAAATATATTTAATTAACATAAAAACAACCCGATATCTACCAAACCATGACATCTACCAAACCACAAATTAATTTTAAATTGAAAACCTAAACTATATCTAAATTATTTTATCAAACTCCATCTAATCCACAACTCTAACTAAGATCTAAACCTTATTAACCACTAACTCATTAATGAAAACAAAGAAAAGCCTAAATCTAAGCTAACCCCTAAACAATTGTTAACCATAATCCAATCTTCAAACATATAAGATACTTAACTATTAAAAACTAATACTAATCAAAATTCTAAATACTAACCCAAATTTATGCATTAAATAATAATTCACACTCAATACCCTAACCCTAATCATAACAAATCCTTAACCTCAAACGTTAAATTCAAACTTTAAATCTTTAGGCTTAAAATGTAAATTTTAGATTTAAAGACTACTATTTCAAGCAACTTAACATCAAAATTTCTTTTGGATTTATGATGAGATACATAATAATTATATTTTTATAGCCTATTTTATTTTTCTTACATATAAGGTGAATTGCATAAAAACTACATTTTGTGAATTTTTTTCTTATAATTTTTCTGGTTTTAAAGTAGCTTATAATAGAATTTCTTTTAAAATTTGATGAATTGCATAATAACTATAAATTTTGTCCTGATGACATTTCATGTAAATAAATTTTTATCAAGCATAGTATAATAAAAAAATATGTTGGGTTAAGGGTGAATTGCATAATAACTACAATTTTATCCCTTTTTAAATTTTCTTGCAATTTACTTGATTTATGAGATTGGTTTAATAGTTATTGGGTTTATTAACAAAGCAACACATCAATTTTCACTTCTTTTATGTGTAAATACAAAAACTCAATATTATTCAAGTTAAAACTAAAATCATCAAACTAAACTCAACAATATTCAAGTTAATAAATCAACACATCAATTTTCACTTCTTTTACCTATAATATTTTGATTTTCAATTTTAGTACTCCAAATTAAATTTGAAAAAAAAATATTTGAATTTAAACTTGACTATCCCAAAAAATTACAAAAAAAAAATATTATAAATATATTAAAACACATCTCTCAAATTCATAATTAACAAAGTTACACAGTATAAACTCATAATTAACAAACAACACAACATTAAATATTGATAATATATAAGTAAGTTTATTTATCTGTGTCTAAGTTTATTTATCTGTGTCTACATCATCTACTAGATGTGTCGGGTTCATTAATAACATGACTGATTTTTATTTAAGAGACCTCATTCTTGATCACGACATCATGAAGACTCAATGTCTCATCAAAGTATGCAAGTGCAGTGTAGTAAATAGTGAGCCAACAAGATGTATAATAATATCCTTGGTTTGCTTCATCAAGATCCCGAAGTATAGAGGCGACCTCTCAATCCTTTTGTAACAAGAAGTAAATTTAATATTAATAAAATACATGCATTAAAAGCTCTATAAATAAATATGACATTTCAACATGTATTAATTCTAAAAATTTATAATTACTTATGATGTTTTGAATCAGCTACACATATTGCTTGCATTACAAGTTTTCCTATTAAGAAACCTGATTGAGGTATGGTATGATGACTTGACATGTTTTTACAAGATTGAAGCAAAAACAGTGATGAAGAATAATTTGTTGGTAATTTCTAATAGAAATAACGATAAAATATTTTTTGTTGATAATTTATGATGGAAATAACAACATGATAGAAAAATATAAGAAAATCAATTAAAATTCCATCGAGAATTTTACACATCACTAATATCGATGAAACTTTTATTGGTGATTTTAAATGAATTAAAACCTAACAATTCTCTCCTCATTTCTTCTTCTTCATTTGCTAAAAAATATACTAGCAACCCCCTCTTTAAATCTCTTTAAATTTTGAAATCGCTCTTGCAAATCCAGTCACCAAACCTACTAGAGTCAACCAACATTTTTTAATAGCATCAGTTTTCATCTCTTGGTTTTAGTTTTTTTATCAAGCTTCACACCACCAAGTTAGTAAACTCACCCATTTTTTGTGTAATTCATTTATATTTGAAGTTAATTTATTAAAACTTGTTTGTAGTATTTTTTTTTTGTTTTCTTGTATATTTAAATGTTTTACAATTTTTCCCTAGATAATATTAATATATTAATGCGTGATTTATATGTTCAAGTTTATTTGGGATTTTGAGGAAATTAATTTTTATTTGTTATTTAATAAAATTAAGTTTAATTTTGAAACTCAGATAAGTTATAATTAAAGAAATAATGGACATCAATTATATTTTATCAATTTTATTATTAAGTTAAAAATATTGGGAAAATTGATTTTTGTAAAATTATTAATAATTAAATTGTATTAATTTAAGTTGAATAATTATCAATGAGATTCTAATGAAAACATGTGTTGACAAGTTGCTCATTAGAGATTGTCATTTCTTCATTGACTTCTATTATTAACTAAAGTTGGGGACAATTCACATGAATATGCTCCCACCACTGTCACTATTTGAAAAACCAATAGAGTGATTTTTTAAATTTATTACAAACATTTAAAATGTAGTGAAAATTTTGTTATATTTCCATACCCGTAAAAATAACAAACATTTTTCAACTTGTTTTACCCTCCTCATGCAAGTAGTGCATAGATATATGTACAAGCATGTTAGCACAATAAAACTTCAAATATATGTAGGAATCACATCAAACTTCATAAGAGATATTAGATAAATGAGATGCATATAATTCTCGGTGAGATTTGTGAATAAAATGTTGACAAACATGGGTAGCATGTATGTTCTAACATACTTGCAATGGTTTCAAATCATCATATTAAGATTCATAAATATTTAATGTAATCAAATTATAAATTAATGAATATTTGTACAAGATCTCATCATCAATATGTTTTAGTGGAGTATCAAATATTATCTCAAGGTACTTTAAACTTATGCTATACTTTTAAATTCATTAGAAGAGGGTAAATACACGCCCATACAATGTGTTTTCTTAGTCGTGATAAACATAAACTATACTATTTTATTTTATTTTATAAAAAAATAATGTTATTTTATCAAAAAAAAATTTAATTAATAGTGTGTCCTCTTGCATTTGCAAGAAGCACACTACCATTAGGTTAGACTAGAGATACATTAGTATATTATATTATATGGATTATCACAGTATGAATAATATAAACTTCCTACTACAAAAAAGCATATGATTAAACTTGTTGGTCCCTTTTTCCGTACAATCTAGAAAACTAATCTCTTATTGTTATTTCTTTCATTAATCAGAAACTAACTTCTATTTTCCCTCAGAAAGTCAATTCATTGTGAAAATATTTTTCGTAAGATATATTTATTTTCATTATATATGGTATAATTAAAGCATTTAACCTTGCACTTAAAATATTGTATCTTAATTAAAGGAATATTTTTCTTAAGGGCATGTATATGGTATTAAATTTCTTTTGTGGGCTACGCGCGTGCATGCCTTGAATACCAATTTCAGTTTTCCTTGTGGAAAATAAAATAAAATAAAATAAATCATTCAGTTTCTTGACAGGCATGCTGCCATGGTGTCTTTAAAAACCCTTCGCCATCAGCCTACCAATCCGCAGCCCATCCCACGCACATTCCCCCCCTTCTTTTTCTTTAGTGTGCAGAACATTAGACGCCAGTTTATTCGTGTTAAGCAAGATGAAGTGGTTGAACAGTTTCTTTTCAATGGCCCTTTTGGTTATCTTCCACCATGGACAATATTGTTGCCAGGCTGATCAATCTTCTCCAACTCATCACTGTGTTTTTGCTAGAACAAATGGAACCCATTTTGTAGTGAACAATAAGCCTCTATACTTAAATGGTTTCAATGCATTTTGGATGATGTACATGTCATCTGATCCATCTACGAGGAGCAAAGTCACATCTGCATTCCAGCAAGCCTCCAAGTATGGCATGAATATTGCTAGAACTTGGGCTTTCAGCGATGGTGGAAATGATAAGCCCCTCCAGATTTCTCCAGGTATCTACAACGAGGACATGTTCAAGGTATACTTTTCTTCGTTTCTTGATTTTCCTACAATTAATTCTTCTCGAGCTGTTGCATGCCGAATAAGTATATATGTTCTTACTATTCTTCCCAGGGATTGGACTTCGTGGTATCAGAAGCTAGGAAATATGGGATTTATCTGATACTGAGCTTGGTGAATAACTTCAAAGATTATGGCGGTAGATCACAATATGTTGAGTGGGCAAGGGAACGTGATCAGCAGTTAAGTGATTACGACGAGTTCTATACAAACTCTGTTGTCAAAGAATACTACCAGAACCATGTCACGGTAACTCATTCATCAGTATACCCTCCTTTACATTAGCCATCATTTTTCCATGGACAAATCTTCTTAATTTGTTGTTTCATTTACTCAATTATTATCACTATTAGAATTATTAATTTATACACATCTAAAGCGTTTCTTTCAAAAGGGCATTTAATTTGATGTTAAAACATCTTCCATGTCTAATATTTATCTCTGTTAAAGGAAATGAATGTCTCTGAAGCGAGGGCATAATGTTTTCAATTACTGATAGCTAATTAAAGACAGTGGAAGATGATTAATGGATAGAATTAATGTGATTAAATTCTTGAAACAAGTTAACCATTAATGCCTTTTGACTTGGTAAAACCATCGCTAGCTTATAGTGTCAGTGTCAGAGTCACGGTTATCTTGGTTTGAGCAACTGTTGGACCCTAGCTTTCAATCTCTCTTGCCGCTAAAAAACAGTATATGTGCAGGCAGTGCTCACGAGGATCAACTCGATAACAGGAGTTGCATATAAAGACGATCCCACTATCTTTGCATGGGAACTGATAAACGAACCCCGTTCAAATGACACTTCTGGAAAGCTAATCCAGGTATATCTAATTTCTTTCATTGCCAATCTCAAGATGATCACAGTAATAAGATCCAACAAATTATAATGAGAAAAAAACAATCCCAGCAAATGACAGTCTCTTTTAGGATGAAAGAAATTCATGATTCAACAATGTAATCATTAAAAACTAGGAATGAAAGGAGCAATAGAAATGCTTGGAAGCTCACACTCTTTGCTTAATGTCACCATTGCTAATCTGTATTTGTTCCCATTTTGGGCTCTACATGTGCGGTATGACTATATACTAGATGGGGATAACGATGCAGAGTCTCTGTTACGGTGATTATTGCAGGACTGGGTCAATGAAATGGCAGCACACGTTAAATCCATTGATAATTACCATCTTCTTGAAATAGGGCTAGAAGGGTTTTACGGTGACTCGAAGAAGGAATCAAATCCTGGCAGCTACCTTGTTGGCACTGACTTTATCTCCAACAACCAAATCCCGCACATAGATTTTGCCACCATTCATCTCTACCCTGAGCAATGGTAATTATTGCCTTCTCTATCATTTACTCAGTACTGTTCCTTCATCAAGAATTATAACTATTCTCGAGTCTTACTAGATTGATGCAATGGCAGGTTGCAAAACTCAAGCGAAGACGAGCAAGCTTCGTTCGTGGATAGATGGATCCAAGCCCATGTCCAAGACTCCAGTTCAGTGCTTAGAAAACCACTCGTTATAGGAGAGTTTGGCAAGTCTTCAAAGCTTCCTGGAAATAGCCTGCAGAAAAGGGACACTTATTTTGTGAAAATCTACAGCGATATATACAATAGTGTCATAAGAGGAGGCCCATTTACTGGTGGGCTCTTCTGGCAACTCCTGGCCCAAGGAATGGAGAGCTGGGGTGACGGCTACGAGGTTGTCTTGGAGGAGTCTCCCTCAACTGCTAATATTATTGATCTACAGTCTCGCAAGTTAAAATCTCTCACATAAATCTATTGCTTTTGGGACTGGAATTTACAATATTTTTGTCCATAGTGCACTGTATAATAAATTCACTACATCAATTAGTTTTATTTTTTTACTAGTTTATAGGCCTGCGTTAGTCAGATAAAAAAAAAAGTTTGAACATAAAAAAAATATTTAGATTATAAGGAATGGTTTAGCATAAATTCATCCCAATAACTCAATTTTAAATCAAGCCGCAGCTTCATTCATCAAACTCGTGATTCGAGTCATGAATTTTATTGGATTTGATAACTTTATTTTTTTTAATTATTTTTTACTTAATTATATAATAATAGAAATATATACTTATAAAATTAAATACAAAACAAACATTAGGATATTTATTTGAAACTGTAATAATTTTATAAAAAATAAATTAAATTAAATTATAAAAATCAATTTAAAATTAATTAGATATTAATAAATAAAATTAAAAAACAATAAAAAAAACTCAATATTAACCTACCATTAAATTAAATGATGAAATTTAAAAATAAAATAAATAAAGGACGAGTCAGATGGAAAAAAAAAGAAGAAGAAGGGAATCGAAGGAAACAGAGAGAGAGAGAGAGAGAGAGAGAGGGGTTCATGTGATCTGTTTCACTGTACAGCTTTACCCCAATTGTTTTAGTGTAATGTATAGTGCAGAATAATTGTTGTCACCGTTTCCATAACGGCCAGAATCATCGCATTTAAATGTTGCGAATTTGTTCTTTGAACAGAAATATCTCGAGGTTTTGAGCCGAGTGACCCGCCCCCATGAAATCACTCTCTTTTTTTTTAGAATGCATGCATGAAGTAAATTTCACAGCAGTAAATCACACATTTGAAAGGAATGCGTAAGGTTGTGTTTAAAGATTATCCATGTCCTCGTGCACTCTTCTATCAAGAACCCATTTTTAAAAGATCTTGGCTTTGCTTTCAGCAATGTTGTAATTGTAATTGCTTATATTTAAAAATTATTTTTATATTAATACATTAAAATAATCTAAAAACCCTAAAAACTATTAATTTAAAATAAAAAATAAAAAAATCAATTTTTTTTAAAAGCAATTAACCGAATTATTCGCGCTGCGATTAATTTTTGATATCCATTCATTGACTTAAGTTATATTAAAAAGATAACTATATCATCCAATCCATTACACAAGGCACACAATAGCAATGGAACTGAGAAATAAAAACGAAGCACAGTTCTATTATATTATTTTCTATATTAAACCTGTTTACCTCCCATTTCCCCTCTCAAATCAAATTTCAAAAAGCCAAACCTGACAGGGGTCAAACATGAACAGATATGTCATATAGAGGCCAAAGACCCACGCCTATGTATTGTTTGTTCATGAATCAGTTCTAAGACTCGTGTGCTCTTTTACTTTTCTCAGCAAGCTTGCAACGGAGAGGAACAAGGAGTAAGAGAAGGCTATTTAGCAAAGAAACTACACATGACTAGCTGTACAAAAATACATTTGCAGGGAATCTTAAATGCCTGGAATTATTTATCGATCCTGAGATTATTACATAGATTTCTTAGTTCAGGCCTTGAATCCATCCATGATGTGAATTTCGTTTTGCTTGCTTTCGTGGAGTAAAGGTATGATCTGAATGTGATCAGATTGAAGTACCTCCTGAAAAAAATGCAGAAACAATTGGTCATAAAATGCCATACGCTCTATAGAATTGCTAAAAGGAGCCATGAAGCCACCCACTGCAGTGTTCATAATAATAATAATAATAATAATAATAATAATCGTAATAATAAAAAAAATAAAAATAAAGTCCATCTCTCTCGAGGGAACCCACGCCTTTCCCATAGGCAATGTCAATCCAACTTGGTCCAAGTTACCAAACCATAATGGAATATCATGCGAGTGCAAACCTTGTGGCTTTCTATGTGAATTAATGAAAAGCAACAAGGACCAGGCAGATCCACCAAAGGAAAAGGAGGATTGCAACAATCTACTTAGCATACGTTCTAAGATTAAATTGCCAAGGCATATAAACAAACCTTAAAGCCTTAATGCCCATATCCAAGAGGCATGCACGTTGCTCATCGTCACTATCAGGAAACTTCCAAAGTTCCTTGACGTAATAATGAATATCGTCACGCAAATGTCCTGCACCTGCACACCTTTTGAGAAAAAGAAGGAAGGTTTCAGCACGACAGATCTAATCATGGCAAAGGGGACCAACTAATCAGAAAACGTAGGAAACAACTAAAACAAAACATAACTTCACACAACAAAATGACCCATAGCTGTAAGGATTTTTCATTCCAAATTGACAGGATAGCAAGCCAATCAGTAACACATCGTCACCTTCTGCTTTTCTCAAAGTTATGGAGAATCTATCTTCCTTTTTTTAATAGAATCATGCCTCCATGACTATCATTTAATCATGCATTTAGTTATTGCCTTTGCTTTCATATGAAGAAGGAACTAAAATAAAAATGGACATACTTTTCAATTATAATGTCAACATCTGCTTTGCTCTTCGGACCATGAACGAGAACTCTTGTAAGACTAAGTATGTCACGGTAATCTCCCATCCTCTGTGCTTCTTCATCAGACAATTCAGAAGGTAAGTTTGCTTCGGACAAAGAAGACGAAGGTCTGCTACTAACCATTGTTTGTGAAATCTTTGATGTCAACTTTGCTTCTGCATCAAGTTTAATACAAATAATTGCCATTGCATAGCCAACACCTCCAAACCCTGTATGTGAAACAAAAAGGTAGCTCCCAGCACAGCTACAAACAAAATTTAGCTAGATTTATAAAATATCTCTGCAATCAAGTACAATTTTATAAAAAGGCTATATTTAGAATGATGCCAAAAAAATCTCTCAGATAACGCCCGCAATCCTTGTACAGAACATAAATTGTGGAAAGCCCGAGTGTCAAAACTCCAATTAACACTAAATATAATAGACATCTGCTTCCATAAACACCCAACTAAACTAAACCTCAGACCAACCTATTTGTCAAGGGCTACATACATCAAAATCTGTTTTAAGGAAATAAACTGTTGGAATGCTAAGAGTGTGTTTCCCACCAAGCATTTGCAAATAGTTATGGAAAAGGAAGTTACTACTGTTTAACTCAAAAAGACAGTTGTCAAGAACTGCAGACTGCTTGAAGTTCTAATTTATCTAAATTCTTCGTACTACTCAGTAAAGTAACATATGCTACTAATTGACAGCTGATTGCTTCCTTTCAGTATGACTTTACCATCATTTAGAACTAACCAGATACATCACAATCACTATCATAATGTCCAGAAACAAGGAATGGTCTCATATTTGACAAAATTGGGGTGGACAACTAACATTATTGCCAGAGATCAATAAATCAGTTACCATTTCCAAAGTCTGCAAAGTAATATGCTTTACTTTAGGCTTTCAGTAACCTTTGGACTAGAAATAACTGGAACAATTGGAGAAACAAAAGGGCACAATTATGAAGCGATATCCACCATGGACAAAAAAAAAATTGTAACCTGGCAGTACTACTCTTTTTTGTTATTAAAACAGGTGCTTGAGAGAATTTTTTTTCAAAAAAAATGTGATTGCTGCTGCCAGAGAGACTTAAACAGCAGTCTGAACCCCAGAAAAAATAACCATCTTCCAAGTTCCACTTACTACAGTTATCAAATACTTGATAGAAACATTGCAACCACATTTATAACTAAAATGACAAATTGTGGTTAATAAGAAACAGAGAATTTTGGTACTTACTCGTCTTTACAATACTGTATTGCATCAACATCAGAAGCTAGAGCCTCAGTCTCACTGGCTAATGGAATCCTCCTATAAGTCATGTCATAACCCTCATCCTTAAGACCAGCATACACTTCAGCAGGTGTCTTCACATCATCTGCAGAGATGTTCTCCCAATATCCTATGATACAGGACTGATTTGTTGCTGGATCATATTCTTCACGGTGTAAAAGCAATCGACCACCAGACCGTCTAATCTCAGATACTATATCTTCTTTTAGTCGAGCCTCCATGAGTTCTAACTGCATAAAAGTTGAAAGAAAGGAAGTTAGTAAGATACTTCGCTTAATAGATAGCTCTTTGCGGCAAAAGAAATTCAACGACGACGGACCACTGGACCAGTTATTCCAACATGCTTGAGCGTGTCAACAGGTTTATTTAGCTCCCTGGGGACAAATGGTGTGCCATTTATGTAAACAGCTGCTTCTTCTCTGAGATCAGTCAATATCACTTTCTGAGCCAGAGATCCTCCTATCTTGGGCTTGGCCTTCAAATATGCCAGCACCTCTTTGGCACCAGCAATCGTTGGAGTTGCCATGCTATACACAGGGTAGCCATCCACCTGATGCATAAGAAACATTGGGTTTAAAAACAGGAATTTCCATCAGAATGTAAGTACCTCTCCCTTTGTATTCACACTTTCCACAGAAACTTGTCTGTCAGTGTGTACGAGTGTGAGTTTGTGTGTCTGTGATCTGAATTAGTGAAAGGAAAATGCAAAATAAAACAAAATATATTTAAAAATAAAAATAGGAGTGTCAAAAAGGATATTCCACCAAGGGTCCATCATCAATATAATCCAGATATGGGCATACCTTGTAAACATTTGGTGCTCCATGAATTTGTATGTGGCTAGAAGTCCGCTGACCAGGAAAGAAATACATTTTGAGTATAGAACCTTTACCCAAAACCGAACCATTGCGAACCCTGACAGTGGCCTCCATTACTGCATCTCCATGCTGAGATTCCTGTGGTGTTCTCAACCCCTCCTGCTTGTGATAATAATAATAATTAAAAAAAAAAAACACAAATGCCAAGGTTACCATAATGATAAAGAGGAAATCCGTAGCATAGAGAAACAATGCAGTCAAAAAGCCCTAGAGTTTCCAAGTGAAAAGGAATAAGAAAATATACCGGGACAGTGAAAAAACGGCCTGGCCTCAATCGAATGCTCCATTTTATTGCTTGGACTTCAGGTCTTTGATGCAACCAGCTCTTAAATGTCATCCTTGATTCTCCTTGTCCACAAAACCCATCAAATGCTTCACTTCCTAGATATGCTGCAAAGGCAATTA